GTGGTTGCCATCCGGAGACCAAGAACATCGTCGAAAGTATGTCGTGAGAGGTGACGAATTAAATGGCGCCGCTATTGAGTGCTCAAAAGTAAAGTTATTCATACACTCATAAGCAGTAGCATTAGGTGGCGGTGAGGTGAATCGAAAGAGCTTGATCGTTCGATCATCACTAGCAGTCGCAAAAAATTTGTTTGCGGGATCGAATGTAATTCCTTTGACGTGACTCTGGTGGACCGATAGAGTTTTGAGTTTTTCAAATGTATGCCCCGACCAAACAACAATCTTCGAGTCCAGCCCTACAGATACCATTATCGAAGAATCGTAAGCCCATCCAAGATCCTGTACATCGCTGTCATGTCCAATCAGACGCTTAACAATTTTCCAATTCTCTACCGGTGGTGGTTCATTGGTTCCTAATACTCGTCAGCATTTATCTTGTGGTCTGTCCGCAACATAGAAAGTTCAAAAGTACCAAAGGATGCAGAGTGCGCTGCTGGTTGTGTATCCAGTTGATAGATACAAATAATCTTGTCGTCTGCTCCAGAAGCCAGCCATCGTCCGTTTGGCGAGAACCGAACAGTATGTATAGTGCCTGAATGATAACTCATATGGCATAATTGCCTTGGTGTTGCAGGTGGATTTTCCCCCGCTGCCCCGAGAATTGCCTCTGTGGACCAAATTCTAACGTGGCCATCTGTTTCGAGTATTTAGAAATTGTCTCTGCAAATGCGGCAATTAGAATGCTCCATCTTACCACCAGCGGCTGTCGCCAGTCGTTTACCATCAGGCGATACATGGAGACTGTAGACTTCGTGGTCTTTCTGCTCTCCTAGTCATCGAGGCGCATTGAGCGCAAAGGTTAGCCAAACGCGACATCAATAGAACGATACAAGTAGCCAATTCTTAAGTGCATTAATCTGTAGATAATAAAAGCAGACTTACCGCTGTGAGAAAGCCAAGATGGCTTGATAAATTTCATAGTTTTCACCTATGTCATTGACGAGGGCAGAATTTCATGTTTAACAATTCCACCTCAACGTCAGATACACAATTTATTACATAGAGCTAGGAACGCGTCTACGGGTGCACTCTACTAGTGGCGTTTTCAGTGGGTACTGGAATTCCTGGAATGTTACGGCCAATGAAAGACGATTCTTTAAATGGAAACATCCGATTACTTTTATCCGAACAACTAGAAATTACCTAAGCAATTTTATAGTATCAACGTATGTTTACCTCCTCGATTTGAACTCAAAAGTAACTTAATGGCGGAGTTGATCTAATTGTCCAACAAAGCTTCAAGCATGTTCCTGATGTCATCCCTATATTCAATTATAGCCTCATATCACCCAACGAATTGGGCAGACTACCGAGTCGGGTATCCCTATTGCAAGATTCGGGAAGGTAACAGGCAAAAGGCATCTGGGTTTCGTTCAGTCTGCTTTCCTCTTAGCTTTTACTTGTACTAGAATTGATATCTGGAGTAACGGCTCGTACTAACTTTTGTTCAAATGGCGCTTGTCCCCAAATATAACGCTTAGTGATCGAGATTCGGGTTCAGCCTCGGAAAGGGGATTTGTCACATTGAAAAATGCAGAGTAAACAAGATCAGCATTGTGGCTTGCGTCAAAATCATATATCATTATTGCTTTTGGTGCTTTACTATAATCAATCCCCTAACGAAACGCCCAAACAGCCCTTCTTCAATTTCTTTCAAGTAGAAAGAATGAGATACATGAAATAGGCTACATGGAATATCTTCGACCTCTGATCTTCAAAGGTCGAGTGGGTTTATTGTAGGCGGTACCGTTTGAACTGGCTAAAGTTTTGAGGGCAAGCTGTGAGAATTCGGACCATGCCGTCAGCAAGTCAACTACAAATCTCTCCTCTGAAATCAAGCTGTTAATGAAACATTGCAGCTTCATTCCAGAATCTTCCAACGCATTGCAAAGAAACCCTTCTAATACATGCGAAAGCCCGGTTACTGTAGGGTCGAAGCAAAAGCTTGAGGGAAAATAACGTGAAGCTTCGACAAGGTCGCAGTCAGGCATCACTGTGGTCACACCACTCAGGGCTGCCTCAAGTGGAGTGATCCCAAGAGTCTCATAACGTGATGTACACACGAATATGCCATGCGTTCGTACATAATCAAACAGTGCATACATGTCATCCTTCGGAATTTTGGAAGTGATCTTGACATGAGCGACATGTTTCTGTGGGACGCGGGCTATCAACCTCGCTGATGCTGTGTCTGAAGTCCCTTCGCCACCCACTATCAATAAGCGCACAGGTTTCCCACGGTCGAGGAGTGACACCGCTGAGTCTACTAATAGCTCTATATTCTTGAAATAATCTAGACGAGCAACGGCGGTAAAAATAAGATTTCTTTCACTTGATGAAAAGGACACAAGTTCTTCGATATTGGCTGTTTTATGATGGTGGTATATTCTCATTGAATGTATCGGTGGGTTGAGTGCTCGGATTCGGGCAGGATCAATACCTCGCTCTATGAGATAATCGCCTTGTTTGTTGGAATGTTGTAGAACGTAGGCACGATCAGAAGCTTTGAGATGTCGCAAGCCTTCCTCTTGAGTCCCTGCCAGATGAGAAGCTTTGTTCTCGGAGCCATATGCTATAGCAGCAAGGCCTTCCGTAAAGTGGCGGGTGAAATCGCTGTAGAAAGGGCCGTGGTGGGTGACGCAATAAGGTAGACGCTTCGGATGATATCTGAGGAGTGTGTCGGTTTGATAATATAGCATTGGTGGTAGACTATTTGAAAACTTTGCCACGAGTAGAGCTGTGGCGGCACATAAGGCATATCGGACTTGCACAGTGTTCATGCCAAAGTTGAAAGACAACTTGACGCATGGTGTTGAATCTCTTGTCACAAGCTGTACAATGGGCGCCGCTAAGTGATCCTGACGATCATAGAGAATAACGCCGCCAAACAGCCCCGCGTCCTCTAATACTCGTATTACTTGTAACGCAAAAGCAGTCGCCCCAACCTTAGCAGGGGAGTTCGTGGAACTCGGATAGTAGCGGTCATTCAAGATGAGGATAGCTGGAAGCATTTTTTCAACAAGAGAAACCTTCTTACTGGTTGTCGAAAAAATATTGGGGGCTAATGGGGTGGTTTTCAAGTATTTTAGTAAGCGTACAAGATCTGTGAAATGGTGTTAAGGAAGTCTAGAACACGGACAACGTAATTCAATTTATAAGATGAAGAATGATAAAGGCGACAATAATGGTTACAAGGGGCTCTTCGAATGCATCGGGGCCTAGTATACTCTTGATCGCAAGAGTGCGGGAGACTAGGATAGAAGGGCGTCCAAGATTCTCGCGTCACCACGAGATGCATGTCAACTATCTTGATTTGAAGCCGCGATTTAGTAAAGTATGGAGCCACTATCTCGTTTGTTAGAATTAACAAAGAAACACATGGCGGGCCGGGGAATTGAAGACTACTTTACCGGCACACTCTTATTGGTAATAACAAGAAAAATGAGGAGTCAAGAGAAGGTGCCATGACATAAAGGGTTGAGGTAAGGATCACTAGCATCTGCAAAACAGTTTGTTTTGAGCCGACGTTATTTTCAGGTACCTGCTAAGAAACCCGATACCATAGTTCCCATGATGGGGCAAGTGGGAGGGTGCGGGGTGGTGGAGATAGGTTTCACACGGGAGCAATCTAGAGCTTCCGTATCGAAACTTGGTATTCAATTACTAGGAACTATGGTTCGAAGAATACGATCAGTAACCATAAGGTGGAGACTTGAGATGGTGTTACTTCCCACATGATGGCAAGCGAATGGAGACCGAGTAGACAGGCTTTCATACATCTGCACACGTGCCAAGCGCCAGACACACCCATGTGTATTTTATTGTAAAATTCACTTGCATCGTACAATATACGATATGTGCGAGGTATCTGTGGAGAACAGATTGGGTTCCTTCGAAGCACGACACTACTCTCCCGACCCACCTTCCATAGTGGCGTTACTCAAGAATGCAGATACCCTATACGTACACCCTATACGTACAGTACACTGTGATTTTAAAACCAATCTGACTGTAAGGACAGCTTCAGAACCCCCCTCCAGGATTGCTTGGCTTCTGTTTCAATGTTAAAGAGTTATTGGGCTCTCCGTAACCAAGCGATATCGATCAATTTGAGCGTTACTAAAGGTCTGATATCTAAACGATCAATAGATGCACGTGTATATGGAACGGACAATGAGAGGAGATGGAATTGGACCCAACCTTAGATCAATGTTCTGCATCAGGTTGCGAGTACTAACATTATTCACGTAGGATCTCGAGTGAAGAAACGATGAGATGATATGAGATGATTGTCTTGATTTCATGTAACATCGAATCGAGGAAGATATATTTTGGGAACCACGTGATAAGAGTCTCTCAACCCTACATCTCAACATTGCCCTCCCTCCCTTATACCAGGTATTCGGCTTCACGTTATGCCTTCCTATTTCTCTCTCTTAAGTTTTTGGCTCGCAGTGGAACTACATAGTAATTTTTCAGCATCACAAAAACACAACATTCGGATAGTGGGGGCCGATATCATATTCTGGAGTTGCTAGGCTCTCCCAGTGGAACAGCGACTATGGTGATGTTCAACGGCCGATCCGTTACTCCCGCTTATTCTGGGGTAACCCGCAAAGATTCTGCAGAGACACATGCAACATGACAGAAATGGGGTTTTTGATCTCATCTTTATATACATGCTATTGTACTCTCGTCTGATTGACGTATGGAAATACGACGTCTACTCGCCTACTGACAGGCTATACTGGTTATGTTGATATCTCCACTTTTACAATATCCCTGTTGAATATGTAAGGCAGGCACTAGGGGAATCACTGCTAAGTCCTATCTTGATATAGTAAGATCATGGGAACATAGTGATGCCCTCTTTCCTCATCTTAAACTTTCCTCAGAACACCAACCTCTTCGTCATCGTGTTAAAGTATCGGTTCCGAAAGATGAGTATCACGCGATCTCATACCACAAGTAGACCTAGCAATGAGCATAGTACCACTTCGGCTTACCTCGAGACTCCATGTCTGTCAGGCGAAATTTCCCTGATACATCATACTTGCAAATTCAGTTGTTTACAACTTCCTCCAATCACCTCACCGTCAGTTCAGCTATCAATAGTTGCAGTCATTTGTCTACTATGTCCTGGTATGTTCAATGCTCTCAATGGGCTTGGGGGAGCTGGATTAGTGGCCCCTGGCCCGGCAAATGAGTCGAATATCGCACTTTACGCTTGTTTTGCAATTATAGGGTTCTTCGCCGGCTTCATAGTCAATATAGCTGGGCTCAGGGCATCACTATTTATTGGTGGCATATCATATGTGGTTTACGGCGGTAGCTTTCTCGCTTATAAACACATCGAAAATCGAGGCTTCTTGATCTTTGGGGGGGCATTTTTAGGGGTATGCGCAGGGCCCTTCTGGGCAGCGCAAGGGGCTATGTTAATATCTTATCCCTCTGATGATCAGAAAGGGCGCTCAACCTCTTGGTTCTGGGCTATCTATAATAGTGGTGCTGCAATAGGAAGTCTTGTGAGTAACTCCATTCTTCACTCAAGTCAATCTGACAGTTTGTGCAAAGGTTACTCTTTGTCAAGAGCTTCAAACAAGCGCTGGCAATGTTGCTTCCGACAATACATACGTTACTATCATTGCTCTAATGTTCGCTGGGGCGATATTGTCTCTTTGTCTGTGCCAACCCAAGAATGTCAAAAGGAAGGATGGAACTCGCGTTCACGTCACAGTAACAGTGGAAACAGACTGGCGAAACGAAGCAATACATTTTTGCAAATTAATCCGCAAAGACTATTTTATTGTCCTATTATTTCCCATGTTTCTCACTTCGAACTGGTGTTATCCATATCAATTCAACACATTCAACCTTAAAACATTCAATATCCGCACCAGAGCTCTCAACAACTTTCTTTACTGGCTATCAGAGATTCTAGGTGCGCTAGTTGTGGGCCATACCTTGGATAACGATCGTTTGAGCCGATCTGTTCGGGCAAAAGGACTTGTTACTGGACTTGTACTTCTAACTTTTGGAATCTGGACAGGTGGATACACGTGGCAAAAGGGGCATTATTATCAAACAGGAATTGCCGCTGAGGATCAGAAGATGGACTTTGATGATGCACATTATCTTGGACCTATGTTCTTGTACGTAGCTTATGGAATTTTCAATGCTATCTGGCAGAACTGTGTATATTGGTGAGTCATCAGTTGGTATTTGATGATAAATCCTAGCTGACATATTTTAGGATCTTGGGGAAATTTACGAGCGATACTCGAAAGGCGTCGATCTATATTGGTTTCTACAAAGGTATCCAGTCTGCGGGTGGTGCTATCAGTTACCGCATAAACAATTCAAACATTTCTGCGATGAATGAATTTTTGATTTGCTGGGTCCTTCTTGCTGTTTCACTTGTTATCGCAGCACCGGTCATCATTTATAAAATACGCAACGAGACAAACGAGGAAGATATCGCTAGAGAAGAAACAGCTACAGAGACTGGACCTGCAGGGATTGATGAAGAGAAACCAAAAGCTAGAAATGATTCAACTCGAAGAGCCGAAACGAAGCTCCTATAGGAGAGTTCGAAGACATCACCAGTATGATTGGTAATTTCTTTGTATATTGGACCATCATTTGGACTTTAGGCAGTCATTTGGAAGGAATTTTAGATTTGGTAGATAGTCTTGTCAAAATGCACATGTCAAAACCACACCTGCCAAAAACGCAGTCCAGGTAACATGGTACCATGCTCATGTCTTCTGCACCAGCCTTCTCACGACTTGTCACACGTCGTATCACCTGCAAAAGCACCTCGGTCGCTCCCAACCGTGAAACATATCCTATGAGAATACCGAGGCCGATTTTAGAGAACATTTTCGGGAGCCTGCAACTTACAGCAAAGAGTTGGAGCGTGTGTGACGGGCCGCACTGCTGGATGATGCGGAAAGCCGACGGTCTTATCATGCTTCATTCTTTGCCGACGGCGAGGAAATCAAACTTATGTGAGATCAATGGGAAGAAAAGGCATGCACTAGAAGCTTAATCTCGTGTGGTTGAGTGGGTGTGCGACCACTCATTGATATTTGGATAAGGATAAGCCAAGATCCTCAAGCTGATGCAAAGAGCCTCCATGCATATATATAGTCTATGTTGTGTTTGGGGGCCATTTTAAGTTTGTATTTTGAACTTATAGTACTCGGTACTACCAATTTGGATGATTGTATGGCCCTCAGGACACTAAATCCAGTTTTCCAAAGTGCTGAAATCTCAAATAAGATGTTGGCGCAGCACCGGGCATTCCTTCGCGATCCCTAATGCACTAATTATTCAACCGGTAGCTACGTCCTCCCCTTGGCTCGGAGAATTATCATCACGGCTTGGACACGGAGTCTTGCATCGAGGATAAAGAGAATTGAATTTGAATTTCATTTCCAGCAAATTCACAGCAGGAGTACAAACGGAATAGTGCGTTTTCAATGTACCTAAGATTGTACTGATTGAAATCTGACGATGACGACAAACAATTTGAATGTTCTCATTACTGCTCTTTGGCCCAGGCGAGCAGACAAAGGGATAATCCAACGAGCTGGAATTTTTCACTCCTCCTATCGGTCGAGTGCAAAAGTCCGATGCAAAATCGGGACGGAGGCAGCGGGCTTCTTGAGGAGAGTTCTATTGCTCCGGCGCATTCTCATCCAAATACTTGGGAAGATACATAGAACACCATATGCTTGTTAACAAAGTGCGACGATAGAACCTAAATGCAACGACTAGTACTCTTATCAACTTTCCAGAAAAAGACACCATAGATGTGACACTAGGGCTTGATAGTTTACACATACATTCCCTGCAAGGGTAAATGTTACAATCTCATCAAGGAAAAGATCCTACAAATACACATTGGTCTACAAACCTTTGTTTCAAATGAATTTCGAGGTTCACATCGCTATTTCATAGTTGGACTTCAGGAAGTGGGAAACTATAACATAAATATTTTCGAATATTGCTTCTTTATGCCTAGCAGACTCGAGTGGATGCGAGTAGGTTCCTCAGAAGATACACACTGGTTGTATGTTTTAGATTCAATGGAGCCATTCACGACTTGTAGGTATGTATGTAAGTTGATTGAAAGGATAAAGTGGTGATGCGAAATTGACTGGTCAATTTTGAATTCTTGAGCTATTCTCTTAATGCTCTAGACGTCGCAGAATACCAGTGGCTATCAATTGTGAGATTCATAGGATATTTTCTTCTATGCTAGAGATAGCCCGATAGTAACTTTCTCCAATCATTCGCTTTGAGAAAGTTGCATATAGTCTGCTAAAATTGAACAAGAAAAGGCTACTTGATTACTGAATTTTAAAAACCAAATCGTATCTGCTGTTAAGAAGAAAGAGCTATATTAGACTTCTACATATCAGAATATATTGGTAGTTGGAGCAGAGTGTTGAGAGAATGAGATCAAGGTGTCTCTAGAGGTTTGTAGTAGTTGATCAACAAAATGGCAATGTGGAGATCTTCAAAATCATCTCTATCGTGGCTTGGAGATCTTAGCTCGAGAAACCAAATGCACATTGCATTTCGATATCTTGCCAATTGCTCACATGTTTCTGCAAAGGTTATTCCAACGGTTCTTTCTTAGCATACAGTCTCTTTCCCAAAACACTATCAGGAAAAAGGCCGCCCATCGGTTCCGACGGTGTCCAATTACCTGCTTCCCTAGTATCTAAACCAACAAACGCAGGATTCCGGCTTTGCTGTGCAGCCTGCCATATCTCATCCATACCCACCTTATCTGCTTTGATCGACCTTAACTTATAGAAGTTATACACCAATTGGTCTAGTCTCACCCACGTGTACCCCTGATACCCTTCTGCGTATGTTTTTCCCGGCACAGGGTAATCGGCCTCAAAGGCACGGATCCGCATACTTTTGATGGATCTGCCGGATTCAAGAACCGAGGCCATACATATGCGATCAAAAACCAGAAAGGTATTGGTGATGATACCCGAAGAAGCAAGTCCGTCCTTGTGGTGGTCAAACCGACGTTGCCCGCCGAATACGATTCTGGGTGCGACATCCGCTCTCTGCTCGTACTACAGGGGGCCCTAGAGGATCTCGCGAAAGGCGCGTCTAAGCACCGCACCATCCTATTGAGTGCTTTTATCACTTGCATCTAAAGTAGTTCCAGCCACAGATGCATGTGGTACAACCGCAGACCCCGGCATTAACGAAATCATGTGCCATTTTGCATCAATTATGCCCTTGGGGCCACTGTACGTCAGCGCAAATTTGACGAACCCGTCCCAATAACACAGAAAATCTTCCAGAGTTTCTGCATCCAGCTCCTGCGTTGCCTCATCATACAGAACCACAAACCCCCCACAAATCCTTTCCTTATCTATAGAGACGGCGAATCTATTCTGGAGCATCGGGCAGGGCGGCCTCGGCCATGGCGACGGCTTGCATTTTCTTGCGCGGGTGGGCCGGTCACGCCACTCTCTGGATCCGGCGTGAAACGCTTCTAGCTCGTTGAGAAGATATGCGGGTTTTCAATATGCTTCAAATGATGCTTCTTCTTCTCCCATGATTATTTCTTCCGTTTCACAAAGGAGTTCCCAGATCACCACGCGCTCCGCATCTGTCTCAGGCGTCCAGAACCTGGCTAAAAGCAGCAGTGTTTCTTCTTGCGTGAGGCTGTTCGGATCCGCAACAGCTTTCTCAATCAACTCCGCACGCGAAAGAGCTGTCGCCGCTCTGATATTCGCTGTCTCCATATCCACATCAGGAAAATCGAGAAATATACGCCGCTCTTCACCAGTCAGCGCGGAGGGACAAGAAAGGCTCTTTTCCTTCAATGATGGATAGGCTGCAACAAGCTCTTCAAGAGTGCTATGGTTCCTTGATACTCTCATGTATAGGCCCATGTAGGCTTCGAGGATGGTCTTTTCAGGTTTAGATTCCATAGTTATTCTGTGTCCTCGAAAAGGCTCCGATGATTTGATACCTATAACATGGCGCCATAACAAAACCGCGAAGAATATAGATCTTTCAGAATAGAACTCACTTTGTTGGTATTTATATTGACCATTCTTGGAATACCGATGTGGCAACCTTGAATGTTGGTTGGTTGTTGGTAGATATTCACAGGTATCTGAAATAACTCAACCCTCAAAATCCCTTATTTTGCACTCCGTTCAAATCATTCTATTGCACTGAAATTGGATTGTTGGCGTTAAATATTGTTCACATAACGAAATTGAATCACAAAGCTTGATATTTAGGTATCTTTACGTTGAAGTCTTTTGATTGAAAGAGAAACTTGCAGTTAGAACCGAGTTAAAAAATCGCTTCAGTGTAAATCGTCACGTGCTAACGTGATTTTGCTTTCCCCAATCAGCAACTGCGATAAGGAACGCGATTTGGCCATTTCGATAATCGCGACAGCTTTCTTATGGCTCCATCCAACACCCCAAGGAAACACCTCAAACTTGACAGAGATGTCGGATGATGAATATGGAGATATCGACGAAGATGTTTGGGATGTAGCCGAAGCATTGACTCAAGCGTCGCAAACTCTACCATCCAATCCCTCTCATCGCAGAAAACGAAGGCGAATCAGCTCAGGCCAAGAGCTCGACGATTACAATGATGATGATTTATCAATTCAGCAACGACATCGATCGCGAGGCTCTATATCTAGCGACCATGATGAAGGAGACGAGAAAAAGCAGTCTAAATACAGAATACATGTAGCCGCGGAAGAAGTACCGGCAGCAGTCATCATGGGGGCGACACAAGCGGACGGAATGCCTGATTCGAGTCCTTACAGAATTAGAGGACCTATATATAAGAGGCCGAGACCGCTCCCATCACCGGAATTAGAGCCTAAGCCCACATCAGCATTGGCTTCTGTGTTCCGGCCTACCAAAGCCCAGAAACAGAACACTGCTCCACAGTCCGCCCCAGCCGCCGCCTATGATTTCTCCAAAGAGCTCGAGGATCTACCGTCCGATGCTTTCTCTCCAAGCCCGCCACAACAAAACATATCAACTGGTTTGATTACGATCAACTCATCGCCCCCATTCGAATTTACACAATCAGTTCGTTCTCAACGACTGGTCGCACCACAGAATGGCCTTCGTCAAACTACACTCTTTGGTGGACGTGCTCCAAACCAGGCGCCATCTTCCACACAAGCTAAGAAAGTGCATAATTATTTGGTAGATAAGGTACCAGAGCCACCGACGCATCATTCTTTGGACCGAGAGGCTATCAAAACATGGGTGTATCCAAATAATCTAGGTCCAGAACGGCGATATCAATACACCATCGTACATAAGGGACTTTTTAATAATCTCTTGGTGGCTTTACCAACAGGTCTTGGAAAGACATTTATTGCAGCGACCATCATGCTCAACTTCTTTCGGTGGACGAAAAATTCACAAATAGTCTTTATGGCGCCAACAAAACCTTTGGTGTCTCAGCAAGTTAAAGCTTGCTTCGAGATTGCGGGCATACCGAGATCATCAACGACTATGCTGACAGGAGATCAGACCCCAGCTTTAAGAGCCGAAGAATGGGATGAAAAGAGAGTGTTTTTCATGACGCCACAGACTGTCGAAAATGATTTGAAGACAGGTATAGCTGACCCTAAGAGGATCGCGCTTCTGGTTGTTGACGAAGCACATCGAGCAACTGGCAAATACGCATATACTAAAGTTGTCGAGTTTCTGCGAAGATTCAATAAGAGTTTCCGTGTACTTGCTTTGACAGCCACCCCTGGATCAACCGTGGAAGCAGTTCAGGAGGTAATCGATAATTTGGAAATTGCTGAGGTTGAAATTCGAACAGAAGAGTCTATCGACATTAAGGAGTACGTTCATCGGCGAGATATCACTGAGATTCTCATAGATCCTTCCGATGAAATCATTATGATTAGAGACCTCTTTAGCAAGGCGCTTCAGCCGCTTGTTAATTTGTTATGCTCGCAAAAAGCCTATTACAATAAGGATCCTATGTCACTTACTCAGTTTGGCATGCTTACAGCTAGAAAGACGTGGATGGCATCTGGTGCAGGTAAGACTGCAAACATGGGCGTCAAAGGAATGATGAATGCCTTGTTTACTGTGTTGACGAGTATGGGGCATGCAATAAAAATTCTCAACTTCCATGGAATTGGGCCGTTCTTTTCGAATATCAAGGACTTTCGAGCAGAGGTCGAGGGAAACAAAAAGGGTGGGAAATATAAAAACCAAGTCGTTAATGATCCAGACTTTAAAAAGATGATGGACAGGATTCAAAGTTGGATTAATAAGGAAGACTTTATTGGCCACCCAAAGCTCACTCATTTGTGCGATACAGTGCTGAATCACTTTCTCGACGCGGGCGCTGGTTTGGCCCGTGGCAATATGCCACCTTCAAGCACTCGGGTAATTGTCTTCACCGAATACCGGGATAGTGCTGAAGATATAGCACGGGTACTCAACAAACATGGCCCAATGATCAAAGCATCTGTCTTTGTGGGCCAAAGCGACTCGAAGCGCTCAGAAGGTATGAATCAGGAGAAACAACTTGAAACCATTCGCAAATTCAAAGCAGGAGGCATAAATGTTATAGTTGCAACTAGTATCGGTGAAGAGGGTTTGGATATTGGAGAAGTCGACCTGATCGTCTGCTATGACTCTTCTTCATCCCCTATTAGGATGCTGCAGCGAATGGGACGTACAGGAAGGAAGAGAGCTGGTAAGATTGTTCTCCTTCTCATGCGCGGGAAGGAGGAAGATTCATACAAGAAGTCGAAGGACAATTATGAGCAGATGCAAAGAATGATTAGTTCTGGTTCTCGCTTCACTTTTCGCCACGATTTATCTGCTCGTATCATTCCGAGAGACGTTAAGCCTCAGGTCGAAAAACGTTTTATTGAGATTCCTCCGGAGAATACCCAAGATCCATCTTTGCCGGAACCGAAACGACGTGCTAAAGCCAAGAAGAAGCCTGCCAAAAAATTTCATATGCCTGATGGTGTTGAGACAGGTTTTCGTAACGCCTCGAAACTCAATGGCAGTGTCGCGGGCTCCGCTTCAGCAATTTTCGGCGTCAAACGAAAGCCTAGTGAGCTGAATGATGATGAGCTAGCGCCAGTACCCTTACTCGACTCCGTGTTACTAAGTGAGAGGGATTTGGCAGAGCTTGATCGGCGCTTTTTAAGAGTGCCAGATGGTGCTTGGGAAGAGGTCGAGATGCCCGATTTGACAGCTCAGCCAAGCACACAACGATCTCTAACCATGACAGCTAAAGTTTCACACGGAAAATACACCAGAAAATGCGTTGATCTATTCAGCAAGCTTTTGAGATCTCAAGCACCTGGGAACCGTGATATCAAACCATATGGAGACGAAGCACCATCTGACCTTGGTAAAATGCCAACGATGCCATTAGAAGCGGAACTACTCGCTAGATATCCTAAAGCTCCAAAGCCTACACAAGTCCTAAAGCTTTCTAAAGTAACCAAAACCACACCCGCGCCTAAGAAAATACCCGCATCTAGAAAAGCTATATCCAAAAAGGTTCCAGTACGTTGTAACCGCCCTCTTCAACACGAGAATTCCGACTCTGAAGATAGTACCACGTCCATGGCCATGGTATCAAATCTCCGCTCTTCTCAAATTCCTCAACCAACACCTGATTCCGAAGAAGAAGGGCCAGGTGAAAGAGTTGACAGAACCAGTGACATGGAAGATCTAGAAGCGAGTGACGACTCGGATCTGGGAAGTCTGATTGATTTTATTGATCCCACGCAAATCCAAACCCAGATGAACCTTACAGGGACGTCCAACTTTTCGTCAAGCCCACCACAGATGGAGAGGTGGGATGGAGATGAGAAACAAAGGGGGAGAGGAAAAGGCGGGTTGTTGGGAAGGGCAGTGGAGAGGGATAAAGCTAAGAATCTGTCTTCTGAGAGACCGGTACCTACGATGACACAAGACAGTAGCGATGATGACTTACCTACCATCGAGGATCTTGTCAGAGGTGATGCTGTCACTAAAAATAGTGTAAATTTCCCATCCAGTAGTGTATTAAGCAGTGGGAAGAAAGCGACGCCGAACATGTTTACGAGGAAGAGGGATGGTGATATCAGGGGAAGAGGAAACAAGCGGAGAATTGTGGATAGTGATGATAGCGATGAATGAATCTATAGTGTGCCAGTATCATACATACGTCCTCCCTTGTTGGAATTTGGAACGGATTGCTTAGCGTTGGAGTTGCCGGGTGTGGTGCTTGACGTGTTGCTATATATTGGTGGTCATCATGTGTACATGTAATTCTCTGACGATATGTACTGCATATGGGAAGAGTGAAAATAATTATCCATGATGATACTTGGCTATTATTCTCGATGCCTGAGGGCTATCGGGAGCTAAGCATGCAATATTATCCACTGTCTGATCATGAATTATGTATTCTTTGGAAGGTTTGAGGTCTAGTATACAATCTTTCTAATAATTCTCTCAAAGACCCCTGACCCCATTAAATAATGCAAGTGATGTTCTCAATTGAATACTTTAAGCGTACACCCAACTTCTACTACACTCCAAATTCTAATCTTTCCATCCTCTCCTCTCCCCAATCCACCTTACTACATAAACCAAACCCAGCAACACTGGCACCTCAATCACTACAGAAAAATATTAGTGAACATGTTCTTAATAAGGCATATCCAGAGTACATACACGGGCCAACCGTAGCGGCCAACGCCTGTTCACTATCCGCACCATACGTCGCAACCGCCACAGCAATAGCCAACTCGAAATTATTACTTGCTGCCGTGAAACTTTGTGTCGTGGCAACCTTATATCCGAAACCCATTCTCGCACACACAAACAAAGTTAAGAAGAAGATGATTGCAAAATAGACGATTAGAGGAGCTGCAACTCGTACAACCGAAACTATCTGCTGGATAACATGTTGACCCTGACTTGCGAAAAGGATCAAGATAGTGGCCAAGAGACCCAGCAGAGAGAGAGGAGAGAGGTATTTGAGGAATACAGTGTCGTACCAAGAGGGAGACGTGAGGCGGCGGAGGAGAAAACGTGTGAGGATAGCGGCTGCGAGGGGAATGCCGAGGAAGACTGCTACGCTGGAGGCGATGGTTGAGTAGGAGAATTTGGCAGGGCCTTCGGCGCCTGAAATGACGGAGATAAAAAGCACGGAGAGGGGAGCGAATAGAACCATTTGCAATAGACTGTTTATGGCCACGAGGATAGCGCAGTAGGAAGTTGAGCCGCCGGCTAGACCAGTCCATATTAGGACCTAGGACGGATTAGTGGACTGAGTTGTAAACATGAAATCAAAAGAAGGTGAAGAAATACCATGGCAATGCAGCGAGCTATTCCAACAAGTATCAGACCAGATCGAAGCTCTTCTTTGTCAGGGAGGAAAGCCCATGCTAGAGCTAACTGTATATGAGACCTCGTTAGCTATGTTGTGACAGGGTCAAAGGTAGGTAGAAGAGGTTTAAGTACCATTAACAATGGGGCGACAATCCAATTGACGACCAAACTGAATCCAATCTGAACCCAGATATCCTTTTTCTGAAAGACAAGATGTAAAGTTTCGAACTTGACCTTGCAAAGAATCGGATACATCATTGCTAACAAACACACAGCTATATTACCATAGTTATATTAGCATCTAGAGTAAATTGATACACCTTAACCTCTCCTCTAGATTAACTGCTCAAGTCAATATCCCCTGTTACTACATTTCACTATCGACCAGGAATGAAAAAGAGAAGCACGAACCAATCGGCACACTGACACCCACGAATTCTCCCTTTTGCAATGCAGTCCCGACGTTAGGCACAAAATTTCCCAGCAAAATACCAATAGCCATAGCGAGAAAGATCCATAAAGCCAAGAGCCGATCAAGCCACCCTAAACTCTTGAAAAGGGAAGTTTTTTGGTGATCTGCCTGGAAACCATTTCGAGTTTCAGATGGGACTTGGAGGCGGGAGTTCTTCTCAATGTCTACAGACTGAGATGGGACATCCGAGGAAGATTTTTGGAATTGGTTGATAGATTCTGGAGAGACGATGTCTTCAGAGGCGAGGACTTTAGCCATATCGAATAGACGTTTATTAGATTAAACACTTTGAAGAATTTTTTGATTGAACACAGAACTTCTGTTCTTAGAAGTATAGTAATTAAGAAAGTTGAAGAATAATAGCATCTTGAAAAAAGTAAATCATCTACCATAAGAACATCATATTTTATATAAGAAAGCAGAAAGTACATCCTCTTGCTTCGGTTTCTCCCTACACTTTTGGCGAGGATAGCTTTGACCAATCAAAGAGTAGGGGTGACATTCATGGAGTATCGAAGCTAAGTGGGACTGGGACATGCACATGTTACTTGGTTGCTTAGATAACGTGAGATCAAACGACTGAGGAAATGACTTGGAGATGGGGTGGACGGTAGTTGTTAACCATGAGGCAAGGAACCTCAAAACTTGATATGCTTCATTTCATCATTGTCTAGTTTACAGCGCAAGGTATATTAAAATCATTCGTTTAGTTGACCTGGGTCCCGTATCCCCGAATTTGTTCAGCTATTTGATTGTTAGCAAAATATCACGGAGTGTTTAATACTTGAAATCTTACCGAAAGCCCAACTTTGCTTCTCCAATTCTTCATTCTCCTTCAAATCGATACCTTCCTTTGTGATAACCGCAATCGAATACTTGTCCATACTCCTAGCATCTCTGTAGAACAAGACCTTCATGCTCTCCTTAACTGCCTCTAAAGCCACTTCTTTGGTCAACTTCGCCGCAGCCTCCTCATCTGGTGCAACCTTTCTTAACAACGGTTGGGCCAAATGCGCACCGAATCCAGTAGCCAAACTTGGAGAAGAGAATGTGGTGCCCAATAAATCGGCGCTCGCCAAGAAAGGTTTATCATGTTCATCCAATCCAGCAACCAGTAAAGTGTTCCATAGAGGATTGAAATCGGAACGACGCTTGTAAAGAACTTTGGAGAGATATTTGTGGAGATTATGAGCATTGAGGGTGTGACCCGATGCGCCGTATGCTTCTTCGGTATCAAGGGACTGGAGAAGTCGGTCCAGGTATTGCATATCTGATACGTCGCCACCAAATCCAACAACTGATGTATCTGCGAATTTTCGAAGACGTTTTACATCTGTGAATCGTGCGAGAGAACCATATGATGCTATTGGAATCATTAGTGAGATGCATTTGGAGCTTATAGTAATAGATTATACCCAAGTTATCTGCTGCGATTACGACACCATCTTTAAATTTTAACGCCACAACCGATGTACCAGTGACGATGGGTGATTGAGTGTGTTGATTTGGTCCATTTTGTTGAAGATATGAAGCATCATAGGCGCCATAAACATCGTCTCTAGGCTATTTGAGCGTCAGTAATATGAAAATATCTGGCTCATATTGAGAGTGCATTTATGCTTACACGGCCCCAAGCTTGTGGAAGGTGGTTCATGATGTTAAGAGGTTATTGGGACAGGAAGGATTGACAATGTGTTGTGTGGTATCTTCAAATGTTCATGGGGGTAAAGTTATTGATAGTGTTGGAGCTTGAGGAACCTAAGCTCTCGTTGTTCCAGGCAGAGCTCGGGACGCGCCTTCTGCAACCTGAGGCCAAATGTCGGGATATAAGCCCCGGGAACCAATCTGGAGCACGGAAAGCTAGTACCAGTAGGTATCTAGTAGTAGGGTAGGTAGCTAGAGTCAAGATGTTTATTTTATCACTCATGTGCCGGTACATCTAAACGATACTTTGTTCTCGAAACCACTCGCAATACAATAATCATGGCAGGTTTAGTAGATTATGGAAGCAGCGATGAGGAGGATTCACTTCAGATTGACAACCCGCAGACTTCCTCGAACGTAAGCTGAGTATTTAATATAATTCGATGAAGATTTGTGAGTGTCACTGACATCGTAGGCTATAGACTTCTGGAGATATAATATCCAACAATTCACCTACCAATGGTACAGCACAAGGTACGCGAACTCACAGTGAAATTCTGATTTTCAGCACTTCTGACTGCTTGAAAGATGTGCGGCCACACGCGAAAGAGCTTCCATCTACAGAAACCTCACGGACTATCGAACTACCAAGCAATCCAAAACCAAACGCTCCGCTCGTGGGACCGCAATTGGGGCCAGTCGAGGCGACTGACTTGTCAGAATTAGAGGATGCCATGAGCGGGGAACGAGATGGAGAACCACAGTCACCATACTCCGCGAATCGAGCTTTGTTACGAGATCTTACCCTCCCGACAGTCCCTAATTACGATATCCCCCCTTCACCCCCAGGCTCACCAGTAGCCAGTACGAATGCGAAATTTAAGCACTTCCTCGAACTTAAGAAGCAAGGGACACATTTCAATGAAAAGCTTGCAAAGTCAGCGGCGCTCAAAAATCCGAGTTTGATGCAGAAGCTCATGGACTTCGCAGATATTGACGAAGCGGAACAATATGCAACAATCCTTCCTCAGGATCTATGGAACCCGGCCGGATTTCCTGAGTATGCTTATAAGGAGGAACTCGCGAAAAGCCAACAAAAAATCTTGAAGGATAGAGAGGAAAGGAAAGCTCGAGGCCAGAGAGAAGCTCTGGACTTTGTACCTGCAACAGCCTCGGGCGACCCTCGCAGCGCGATTTCAAATACTAGTGGCATCAATGGAAAGGGACAAAAAAGCACCGCCGAACGAATCATGGCGGTACTTGATAAGGGCAGGCCTAATTCGTCAAACACGCAAGGCGTCAAGAGAAAGACAAGATTTGAGAGTTGAGATTCACGGCCTGTTGATGAAGACACATTCAAAACCAAAACAAGACGGTTCAAGCATCGACTTAAGGACTATGTACGACTTTAGGTCTTTACTTGGGAGGTCTGCGATAAAAGGAAAGACCTTGGGACACTTGGAACACTCGAGATTCCATCATCATAAGGTCCCAGGGTCGAGAGCCTTGGTTGTCATCAGATGACAAGAGACTCAGAGACTTTGTTTTACAATAGTCCAGCAGACCCATGATATTACTTCTGATATTGTTTCTACTTCTCGTGTATTCACGAGATCCGAGCATGCATATATATCACGAGATATTTAATGTATTTGACTAATCTCAAAAAGAAGGGAAACGGGTCAAAGTAGAATTTGGATTGAGGCTCTCTGAATATTTGATGATATTCAATATAGTGAGGGCGAAGAATTAGAAAGAAATCTAGGCTGATCCAAATTCCACACGAAAACATCTTACTCGTGGCTTAAATGTCCACCACCCCCACTGGCCATATGGCATACATTTATGTTATATCCACATTCATCATTATTATTAGTCTCAGTTCCACCCCAACATGGGGAAAAATCGATTTCTATAACTACTTGTACGAGTATATGTAATGAAGATGACGTTTGTCCGTGCGTAGAAGCTTATTACTGGTGTTTATGTTATTTTGTTTTCGCAGATCATTTTCGATAATATCGCAAAAGTTTTGGAATTGTATAGAGTACGAGGTGGGTGTGTAGTTGGTACGAATCCTGATACCACTCACTACCATTAATGCCATTGCCAATGTCAGTCAATACACGGATATCTCCTTTCCCCTCTTCGTATCCGAAATAGCTACGCAGGTATGGATTGTTGCCTCGAGGACATTTCCTTTTTGATACTGCCCATTCACCACACATAATAGTACGATATCCCAAATGTGAAATATAAAATGTATAAGATGTATAACTTGTATACTCTTTATCACAAGTGAATACTCTGTACTCCAGTAGATCCTCCTCTATCGCTGGTGGGGTTTGTATGAGTATGTAGATATGATATATGATCGACACATTTTTCTATCGCTTTTAGGCAGTAAAGGTCCCTAGTTCATTCTACCCCGAGCGGCCGAGCCCTTATTCTAGTATGGCAGGGAGAAGATCCGGAGTACCTAGTCCTTCTGATTACCTATCGAAAAGAATGAATCAAACAATCAATCCGACTCCCTAATCAAAAGAAAAAATATACTCCTCGCAAAAAAAACAACAACAACAACAACAACTGATATTCGGGTTGAATTGCTACTTGTACAATTACTTTCATTAACAATTAAAGCATTTGCAAGATCTGCAGAATCCCAACGCCTCAGCTCGGTTCAATCCTTCAACTCGTACACTTTCTTCAAAATACAGTACCTCAAATCGCTTCAAAACTCAAACCGCCCTTCAATTTGTGTCAAGATGCCTTCAGAAAATACCAAAGGCAGTTTAAAGCGCGATAGGGTAGGAGAAATAGCTCCTTCCTCACAGTTATCGAATTTCAAAAAAGGCTGACATATAATCTCAATTTAGGTAGGAACGATCGAAGAGAGCGAATCGTACAAAAAGCCGCGCCGATCAGAGAGACTCTCACAACCGGGTCATACTCCCATCTCGAACAAGCAGCACCTTCCTTCCCCAGTTACAAATCAAGGTTCTTCTAGTGATAATCTCAGAGATGGCACTGCAACACCACCAGAGGGTCGACCAAGCCAGATCCAGCACCGAACTCCAGAACCAAGTGAGCGTTTCCTTAAGGACTCACAAGCTTTGTCATCTCCCGTTCGATACTCGCAAGCAAAAACTCAAGAATTGAGCCAATCACAAAGAGACGCGACTACCTTGTCAAGTCAGGTCGAAGATGAGGAAGAGGAAGGCGTTTGGGGATACTTGATGCCTCTCAATCACAAGTATGGAAGACTTCTTGTCTTGCGGAGAAGAAATGCTTGTCCGTTGCCAGACAAGGACAGTGATCTCGGAAACCCTCGTATAGGCAAAGATTTGAATAAGGAAGAAGAGGCTTATGAAGCTACCAAATTCAAAGGCATTGCTTCCGGTGGATACTTGATCGGACGACATCCAGAGTGTGGTAAGTGAAGTCCAGACAATCCGACACAAAGAGTGATACTAAAGATCTTTCTAGATCTCAATATCGATGATATCAGAGTCTCCAATAGACATTGTCTTATTTTCACCGAGAATCAAGCAGGTCTAAACGTTGCATTCGTTGAGGATCTATCAAGCAATGGTACCTTCATCAAGGAGAGTATCATTGGACGAAATAAGCGTCGCCAACTCGAAGATGGAGACGAAATAGAAGTAGTGGATGATGTCAGATTTGTCTTTCGCTACCCGAAGCTGCGCGAAACCAGCAAATTTTTGCAGAAATACCTACTTCTAGAAAAACTGGGGTCAGGCCACTATGCAACGGTTTACTTATGCGTTGAAAAGGCTACAGGTCAACGTTTCGCCGTCAAAGTCTTTACAAGAAAGCCTGGCATCGGAGAAAAACAAAGAATTGAAGGTTTGCAGCAAGAAATTGCAATACTAATGGGCGTCAGTCATCCAAACATTCTATGCTTGAAAGATACTTTTGATGAACCTGGCGCAACTTACCTCGTCCTAGAGCTCGCAGCGGAAGGAGAATTATTTAACTGGATTGTCAAGAAGGGTAAACTTACAGAACAAGACACAAGAAAGGTCTTCGTTCAATTGTTGGAAGGCTTAAAGTACTTGGTGAGTGCTTGTCCTAATGACTTTCCATGGATTCTAGCTAATCAATTAATTATAGCATGAACGTGGTATCGTACACAGAGATATCAAACCAGAGAACATTTTGATGACAGATGAAGATTTGCATGTAAAACTTGCAGACTTTGGTCTCTCAAAGATTATTGGAGAGGCGTCTTTTACGACAACGCTCTGTGGTACCCCAAGCTACGTAGCCCCGGAAATCCTCCAAGACAACAACCATCGAAGATACACTCGTGCAGTTGATATTTGGTCACTAGGAGTTGTTTTATACATATGCCTGTGTGGATTCCCACCCTTTTCCGATGAATTGTATTCTAGGGACAATCCTTATGACCTCAAAGCCCAGATCAAGCTCGGTAGATTTGACTATCCTTCCCCATACTGGGACAATATCGGCGATCCAGCATTGGATCTCATTGATCATATGTTGACAGTCGACCCGGAGCAGCGTTATACCGTTGATGAGTGTTTGGCTCATCCATGGATGACTCAGAAGACTCTCAATGTTCATGACAGCACAGACGGTCTGGTCGGCGGACTTGCAAGTCTCGACTTTAGCAAGCGTAAGATCATGAGAGAGAGAACACTCCTCAGCGACATCAATGAGGTCAAGGTTTCCAAGATCATCCACATCAACCCTGACAAAGAACCTGTCAAGGTATACATCAAAAATCCACATGCTAAATCTAATTGTATCAACCAGCCCTCAACTCAACCAGACCCGATGCAAAACGGAACCAAGAATGAGCAAGTCCCAGCAGCTCAGCGGGATCCAAATGAGTTCATTGAGATGGGTGGCAAGGGCGACCAAACTCTCTTCGATAACGCCGAAGGTAGCATCTATCCAGAGGATTTGGAGGCAAAAGCCGAATCTCCTGTTAAATCCCACGAGATGAAGGCGCCAGAATTAAAAACCCCAAAATCCAAGACTTCAAAGCCCGAGACACCAAAATCTAAGACGCCAAAGAAGAACGGCAAATAATGAATTCTGGCTAAGCGATTTCGTCGATGATAGGATTAACCTTTTCCTGCACAGTTTTACCTTGTATTATGCCTTTCTTTTTTAACACTCCCGCTTCTTTTCTGACTAGATTCTTCTTCTACTTGTACATACGTTGGGTGAGGTAGGGTAGGAGAAACTGCTAAGTACGCAGGCAGAAAGTCATTTTTGATGCTCTCGTACCCGTTTAATGATTATGGGATAGCATGCATGTTGAAGCTGTCTACATTGTGGCAGCGGAGAAGTCAAGATTGATTGGGGACATAACGTATCATACCTACTAGTCGTCATAAATAGATATTGTTAATATACCTTTTAAGCTGTTCATTTGTTAGGAATTCCATGAAATTCATTCCATTATATTCTGCACATCCTCAACTTACAAAGATTGTGGCAGGCACCCTGCAATCCATGCTAAAAAATTTAAGACTGTCGTAGCACAAATCATACCATGTAGCACCCAAAAACCATGTATTTTAACAATGTATTTTCATTTCGCTGTCTATCAAAAAAGAGAGCTTGTGTGGCCATTGCTTTCCCTACGCAAATTGCAACTACGCTTCCGCAGAAGTAGATATCTAAAGAGAGTCCATTGCATTCATCGCAACAGCAGCCAACTACAGTAGCACATACCACTCCTCCATCAGAAGATGCCAAACCGAGTTTTTGGTGCCCACAATTCGCTAAGTCTCATATCTACGCAAAAAAATAAAGAAGCACAACACTCGGATGTGTCGCTAGACTTCTTGCCCATCCTCTCCTTTCCTTTCGATGCATCCGAGTCCAGCAGAACACCAAAGCGATAGGGCTTAGTAGCCTTTTACAGCTATGCCATACCGAAGAAACATTTACTCGACGGTAACTGACTTGGCCAAGTTTCTTGGGAAATCTACGTTGAGACCACCGGCAACAGCCAAGTGGTAGGAAATAAGTTGGAGTGGGAGAACGTTGAGGAGACCTTGCAAGCAGTCAATGGTAGCTGGGATCTCAATCTTCTCGGCTTGACTGGTCTGGAATTCCTCATCTCCGGGGTTGCAGATAACAATCGGCTTGCCAGAACGAGCAATGACTATTAAAATTAGTATTAGTCGTGTAGATAAAAAGAATTTGAGAGTGTAAGCATACCTTGTTGATAGGCGTTAAGAGACTTTGCAAAAATCTCATCACGAGTAAGAATCATGATAATTGGCAAATTTTCATCAACCAATGCCAAAACACCGTGCTTAAGTTCGCCAGACATGACAGCCTCGCAATGGAGGTAAGAAATCTCCTTGATCTTGAGGGCACCTTCCAAAGCTGTGGAATACTGGCTACCTCTACCCAAAAGCAACAAACTCTTTTGATCCTTGAAGGTTCTGGCACAAAGCTCCTTGATTGGTTGATCGAGCTCCAAGACCTCCTTGATTTGTCCTGAGATCTTTCCAAGCCCATCCATAATATCCTCGCGTCTCTTCTGTTTCGAGGAACGATCTTCACTCAAGGAGAGAGCAAACATGATCATAGCAATGAATTGAGAAGTGTAGGCCTTGGTAGAAGCAACACCAATTTCGGGACCGGCGTTGACGTGGACACCACAGTGAGTGAGAAGGGAGATGGAGGAACCGACAACATTGACAATACCAACAGTCAACGCACCGCGCTCCAAGCAGTATCGTAGAGCCATCAAGGAATCGGCAGTCTCTCCAGATTGAGAAACAAAGACACAAGTATCATCACGGAAGACGGGTGCTTGTCTATCGAGGAAATCCGAGGCGAGCTCGACAGCAATTGGAATTTCGGTCAGCTCTTCGAAAGCACCACGAACCGCCATGCAAGAGTGATAACTAGTACCGCAAGCGATGAATATGATTCTTCTGCAACGTCGGATCGTGGCAATGTATGATCTCAAACCACCGAGTGTAACTGTCTTGTTCTCGACATCCAAACGTCCTCTCATTGTGTTGATAACTGATTCTGGCTGTTCGAAAATCTCCTTTTGCATGAAATGATCGAATTTGCCCTTCATGATTTCTTGAAGTTCCAACTCAAGAGTTTGAATTGTGCGGACGTTGGATGAGCCGTCAACCTTGGTGAGTCTGTGGATGTTCAAGGAACCCTCATGGATGTGAGCGATATCATCATCCTCAAGGTACATGACCTTCTTAGTGTGCTCGACGATAGCGGAAGGATCTGAAGAAAGGAAAAACTCTGTTGGCATTGGAGCTCCATCATCAGTCATGAAGGCACGGGATTGGGATCTGTGCAACAAGGACTTGTCTGCTGGAGCAAGAGCATTGCTGGCGGAGAGGAAATTTCCAACGCTGGATTTCTTCAATGCGGCGTTTTGTGAAGCTTTCTCGGCAGGTAATGGTCCATCCTCAGCGTACTCGACGTCAACAAAATCGACCTTCATGCGCTTCTCTGTTCGTACACCAATAACCAATGGTGAACCCTTGCGTGCAGCAATAACCTCATGTGGGTAGTGTACTGACTTCATCAAAAGACCAAAAGCACCTTGCAATTCCTTGATAACCGCCTTTGCCAAATCTGTGAAACCAATTGTTGGATGTTGGTCGTAAAGGTATTTTGCAAGCTTGGCAATGCATTCTGTGTCGGTCTCGGTCTCAAACTTGAAGCCCTTTGATGTCAACAAGGTCTTCAACTCCTTGTAATTGGTGATGATACCATTGTGTACGACCGAGAATTGCCAGGAGGGGTCAGATCTGCAAATCTCACATCAGCAATGTATAGGACCCTACAATAGCTTTACGTACCTGTGAGGATGGCAATTAAGACGAGATGGAGGACCGTGAGTAGCCCATCTGGTGTGTGCAATACCGGCGTGGGAATCGAAAACCTTGGTGAGATCTGGCTTCTCCTGCTCGATGAGAGCCTTTAACTTTGCAACTTTGCCAACCTCCTTGAATGCAAAGACTTCATTCTTCTTGTCTCCATCGATGGCGAGACCAGCAGAATCGTAACCACGGTATTCAAGGCGCGAAAGACCTATAGATTGTAAATTGTTAACTGGCAGATCCCAACAAGTTGATGAAAGTTGTGCGAATATTGAAAGACATTGTTGGTGGACATGGCGGTATAAATAACACCTCAATCAAAAGGAGGGGCAGTTTGTGTATCTTACCATTCACAAGTGTGTCAAGAATGTACTTTCTATCCTTCTCCACCAAGTAATTAATGTATCCGAAGATTCCACTGAGCAGATAGTTAGTTAAATTGTCAAATCTTCAACGTCCTCGTAATTGAAGGATAGCAGGCATTTCCAAAGCATATATACATACCACATTGTTGCAGTAAAGGGGATGTGTTCTATTGGGATCTAGATATTGGTAGGATGTGCGAAAAGGGTATCGAAAGCAAGAATGATTGTAGATTAAAAGAAAACGAATGAAAATGGGATGTATGATTTCCTTTCCTTTCGTTGAGGGATGTGGATGGTTTTAAGGGGAGTAAGAGGGAAGAATGGTGGGTTGGATATTCTTCGTCTGAACGTAAACGTGCACGTTGTCACCCCCACAGCCCTTTGCCTCTCAACCTGTCAAGCATGTTAACGAAAAGAAAATGCGGTAACAAGTGTTCACTGTCTACGAATCCATTAGCTACTATGATACGGGGCCAATTGATTGTTGCTGCGGATCTCAAACATACTAATAAGTGACTACTATGCTCGTGTTGAATAACTGGATTAAGAACCCTTGAGGCTGGATCTCTCGTACTTTTCAAAAAGAAATCTTACCTTACCAACCCAATTGCGAATAGTCTCACGCTTGGAACCCGTATCAATACGCCTTTTCTTGTCAATGTTGACCTCAAAACTTTTCAATGTCTTCTTCTTTCCCACCTTCTTCCTCGTTCACGTACCAATTATTGAAGATGCTCAACAGGGGAGCATTCTGCCAAAGCTGTATAAGCCACACAATCGACCCACCTGTTAATCTAAATAAAGCAGCATTTGAAGTTCTCCAGGCACAGGGGACTTAATCAGGTACCTAGGGTCGCGGGGGCATAACTCTATCCAGGCAAATTTTCTCTACTGAAGCTTCACCATGACGTACAATCTTGAACTCTGTGCTATGTGTATTGGGTGAGGGGGGGGGGGGGGGCTGAAAGCAGAGGTTGTAAGTACCGATACGATATCATATAAGTGGTATAGCATGTCAACGAAGGATTTCACAGTCGAATTCAACAACTGAATCTAAACTGAATCTAAACTTAATCAATTCTCAATACCATGAATCAGTCCAACAAAGAAGAACCGGAGAACCCGTTGTTTTAGGGTTACTAGGCTATCTACCAAATCACTCCGTATCACCGCCAGCTAAGCCAGCGACCTGCACGCATTCCTTTTGCGAAACAGTGGCTTCACGTTGTGTGAGGTATTATTACTGTTGGCCATTTTTGCAAAATTGGCATCTCTAATCGGCCATCAGGATTGTGAGCTGGGCAGATGTGTTTCTTTTTTGCCGATCCGAGAAATGGTGTGCTTCGCGCTTCTTCTTCAGGCTACTGTAATTATATCTGGGTTTTATTCAATTGTAGATATTCTCTCGGCGAATCAATACATTGATTTCATTTTTGACCCTCAAACTCCCCGCCAATCAACCCCACAGGAACCAATGTTGAGGATATACCGTACCCTAAAAACCTAATGAGGAAGGCCCCTTTTCAAGCGAGCATAGAAGATGGATCTGTGGGGGCAATAAATGGATACGCTCAAACTACGGTTGATTGAAACTAGGTAAAAGAGTTTTAATTCATAGCAAGCTGTCCCGTCTGTACAGGTTCATGGAATTTTAAAGAAGTTCTTTTTTAAGTGGTATTCTTACAAAGTCAAGCGGTATGCCCAACCATCCCTCAATTATGCGATGCGCCATGCTAAAACGAAATCTATGTAACAATCATAGTTTTTGATATTCCAGCTTGCCTTCCAATTTCTTTGATTCTGCCACTTTACGAACAGCTTTATTGAAATCGTCCTGGTTGACAGCATCTCTGTAATCCTTGATAGCAAATAAACCACTAGAAAAGTTAGCAAAGTCTTATGTGTAATGTGCCGAAGGAATACATACGCTTCTGTGACAATATTTCGTAAATCAGCACCGTTTAAACCATCACTCATCTTTACCACACTTTCAAAGTCGACCTCGCCATCCATAACAACGCTGGAAGCATGAATCTTCATAATTTCCAATCGTCCGACCTCATTTGGCAGAGGAATCTCAATCTTCCTGTCGAGACGACCAGCTCTGAGAAGCGCAGGATCAAGGGTATCTGGGCGGTTAGTAGCCATGATAATCTTTGTCTTTCCCAAGTAATCGAAACCATCGAGTTGATTCAACAGTTCCATCAAGGTTCTCTGAATTTCACGATCTGCCGAAGTTCCCTCCGAAA